TATTCTAAAAAAACAGAGCAATCAAACTCTCTTTGGGCAAGGAAAAGGTGGTGGGGTAGAGCTTTCTTTACAAGAGTGCAGTACTTGTAAAGATATAACAAGGAGGTTAGGCTGTTGTATCCTAGGGGCGGTGTGATCATAAAAATCTACTGCACCAGTGGCACAAAACGTCCTAAAGAGAGTGATTGATCCACGCCTCAACTCAATCTCCTCATACTTTCGGTGACATCTTTCTACTTTTCGTTTTCATCTTTAATTAATTGTTTTTTGCAATTCTTTTGTCTACTTTTCTTCTATTTATTTTACAAGGAACAACACTTTTAGGATGTTTCGTGAGAAAAAATCCTTTAAAAAATGAGTTTACCTTGTGAAAAACCTTTTAAGCTCGCTAATGATCTTAACATGCCTTTTCATTTTAATGATGAGCATTTCAAAAGATGGAAAGGAAAATGTATTATCTTAATTTGTTAAATTTGGCATATGTCCTCAATGAGGAAAATCCTATTAATTTGTCAACCGAAGGTATGAGTGCTGAGGAAAAGAAATCTCACAAGAAGAAAGTCCAAAAGTGGGAGAAAGATGAATATAGCTGCCACAACTCTTTACTTAATTGCCTTCCTGATGAGCTTTATAATTACTATGAAAGAACTTACTCCACTGCCAAGGAAACTTGGGATGCTTTGCAGAAAAAATATGACACTGAAGAGGCTGGTGCAAAGATCTATGCTAGTAGCCGATGGCTGCGCTTCCAAATGGTGGATGACAAGTCGGTGGTGTCACAAATTCGAGAGTTACAAATGCTTGCTCATGAGTTCCAGTCTAAAGGCATACGAATTGATGACAATCTCAAAGTTGTAGCCATTATTGACAAGTTGCCGCCTTCATGGAAGGAGTTCCAAAAGATGATGCGTCACAAACAAAAGGAGATCATCGTGGAAAATCTTTTAACTCGTATTCGAGTTGAAGAAGAGGCAAGGAATCAAGATGCTCGAACTACAAATGGAGGCAACACATCAAAGGTATCCTTTGTTGCCACTAATGATAGCTTTCCCAAAAATAATAATTTTAAATATAATGCCCAATTGAGATCTAAGAAGAAAATTGTGAAAAAGAGTTATGGGAATCATTCTGCT